CCAAACATAACAGTATCAATCAGAAGGGTGGGAAATCAGAAACCAATTTAGAATGCAGAGTTGAATAAGCAACATAAACAGGAACCAAAGGGCCAATTTAACCATTAGAATTACAAAACAAAGCAAACACCAAAAACTCAATTTAGCTATGCAATCAAAATCATATTCATCAACAACTCCAAACCCTCAAATAAAAACCAGTTTCCCACAAAAGAAAAAACAAACCAAAAAGAAAAACACAAAAATTAGCAAACACCCATCATTCAAAACAAAAAAGTAATCAAAAATGCAATTAGAAAATGTAGGTATTCAGTTGAAAGAAAATACCCTTTTGTTGGAGAAATTCTCATTCCCAGCTGATTGCTTTTTAACAGGAGTCTGATCAAAATTATCAGTTTTTTTGGTCTGATTATGACAATAAGATGATGGGAAAAATTCTTTGGCCAAAGGATTCAAGTTTGTGAACATATCAACCAGCTTTTGCACATTGAATTCCTTTGATTCTGAGTTGGTTGTTTCCACTACTAAATCGTTGTTTTCAACATCTTCCACAGCTTCACCTGAATTGTCAACAACTGCAGCCATTGAAGCAAAAGCCAAAACCACCAAGAAATTCTCTTTTCCTTTTTTTTTAAAAAAAAGAGGAATATCAATAATCAGAAGAAATGGGAATTTTGCTTTTGAGAAATTATTCTCTTCACTTCATCTTTCTTACTAGAGAGGAAGAAAGTTGAGAACTTTACAGAGAAAATTAAAAATAAAAACTTCTTTTTTTATGATTATTGATGCCTAATAATAGGCATCCAATTTGGAACAAACAAATTTCTAGAAATGGAAATAAAATCGACATGCAGAATGGGTTTCCTTTTTTGCTCCTTTCTGGATGTGTTTGAATTAAATGGTTAAATATCTCAAATTAATTAAAGAAAAAGAAAAGGAATTTAGGGTGCGTTTGGTTCACGGAATGTAAGATTATCAGTGGGAATAAAAGATTACCAGGGAATAGGATTACTGGGAATGTTGTATTTTGTGTTTGGTTGGTTTAGCAGGAATATAAGATTACTGTGTTTGGTTAAAGGAATAAAAGATTATTGGAATGTATATTTGACCAAATTATCCTTATTATATATTTGTATAATTTACAAGTTGTAAAATATTTATATATTTTCTTCAAAAAATTAAATTCATAATATTTATATAATTTTTTTACAAAATTAAAAATATAAAAAAAATGTTTAATGAAATGGTAAAATTTTATTTTAACCCCTGAACTTCATAAAAAATTTTAATTATAGACTTTTTTTTGTAAATCTAAAATAATTTAAGGATAAATTTGTAATTTAACCTTCGTAGAATTTTTATTATTCAATGACAGAATAATGATATTTTGAAAAAAAAATAAAAATTTAAGGGCATTTTAGTCCAAAACGCCGGTAATGTTACAATACCTAAGGGAAGGGAGGTAATGACATTCCCGGTAATATACCCCAAAAAATCCACTATTGGTAATAAAACATTACCGGGAATGACATTACCGGCCAAACCAAACGGGGGAATGTGGATTCCATTCCCGGGGGAATCCCACATTTCCCCATCCAAACGCCCCCTTAGGGTTTTGAAGGAACTGAAATGAGGATAAAAAAGGACAGAATAATAGGGAGGAATAACAGTCTTTTTTGGATTTTTTTTTTCATTTTTTAAAATGGTGAAATTAAAAATCTAAAAAGAAAAAATAATTAGTATTATTTTTAATCAGAATTCAGTTTATTGGATATTCTTATAGAGAAAATAATTTCATTGACAAAAAATACTTTATAATATACGATTTTAACTAATTTTTTTTGGATTAGTCAAAATGACCAACTAAATCGCAATGCGATCAATAATTCGCAACGCGATCTCCAGTATCGCAAATCAATTTCCAGATTCGCAACGCGAACTTCGACTATCTCAATGCGAACTTGGACTATCGCAAAGCGAATATATAAATCGCGACCACGACAACGACCACGACCCGACCCAAGACGAGACGGACGGTGGCGGCGGCGGCGCGCGAGAATCCTCCTTGTTCTCTATCACTCAACAAGGAAGTAGGAAAGCCAAGCCTTAAATACCATTCCCAATAGTGTTTCCAATACTATGTGGGATTGAGCATTACCAACACTTGTTCCCAATACTATGTGGGATTGAGCCTTAAATAGTGATATTATTTTTGAATGTTTTGCTTAAAATTACAATAATCGCATTGTAGATTGACTTTTAATTATGACATATTTAATCGTATAATACTAATGCAATTGGTTGCTGATTCAGTTGTTTTAAGGTGCATAATTGTTAATTGTTTCCTGAATAATCACATTGTATTGGAAACAAGTGTTGGTAATGCTCAATCCCACATAGTATTGGAAACACTATTGGGAATGGTATTTAAGGCTTGGCTTTCCCACTTCCTTGTTGAGTGATAGAGAACAAGGGGACTCTCGCGCGCCGCCGCCGCAGCCGTCCGTCTCGTGTTGGGTCGGGTCGTGGTCGTGGTAATACGTGTTTTCGACACGTCCGCGCGAATACTATCTTTTTAGAGAAAATTCTTAAGAAACAAATGCAATACTACCAGTCGTTGCGATTTTGGACTATCGCAACAAATTTGGAATAAATCGCAACGCGAACTTGGACTATCGCAATGCGATAGTCAACTATCGCAACGCGAACTTCGACTATCGCATTGCGATTTACATATTCGCATTGCGATAGTCGACTATCGCATTGCAATTTACATATTCGCATTGTGATAGTCCAAGTTCGTAAGTTCGCATTGCGATAGTCGAAGTTCGCGTTGCGATAGTCCAAGTTCGCATTGCAATAGTCGACTATCGCATTGCGATTTACATATTCGCATTGCGATAGTCCAAGTTCGCATTGCGATAGTCGAAGTTCGCATTGCGATAGTCGAAGTTCGCGTTGCGAATCTGGAAACTGATTTGCGATACCGGAGATCGCGTTGCAAATTATCGATCGCATTGCGATTTAGTTGGTCATTTTGGCAAATCCAAAAGAAGTTGGTTAAAATCGTATATTATAAGGCATTTTTGGTCACTGAGGTTATTTTCTCTATTCTTATATCAATAAATTAATTAATAATACTAATCTAAATATAAAAGTAGTTGATAAATTTTAATTCAAGTTTTTTATGAAGTTTTATTTATTTGAATAAACAATTATATGAAATAATAATAAAAAGTAATTATATATTGACCCTATAATTATCAGATATATAATATTAGACTTTTTTTTGTCATTTTCTATTTTTATAATTAATTTTTGTAACTATTATTTTATATTTTTAAGATGAAAAGATTTGGTATGCCATCATCAGATAACTGCTATTTTCTGGATTTGTTGGGATTCCAAATCTTCATTCATTTTTTTTCTTCTCATTTTGGTTTTTTATTTCTCAATTAGTTGATTATTCGTTTTTTAATATTTGCATACTTTGGAATTAATTGTTTCATTGTGATAGATGGAAAGAATGATGTCAACTATTGATATCCATGTTAAATTTATAAGGTAAAATTTATAAATGTACATTAAATTATATCAAAATGATCTTTTTAGATATCAATTTTTTTAAAATTATATAATAGACATTAAATTTTAGATTTTGTTATTGAATGAACACAATGTAATTATCTATCATTAAAGATGGGATGTAGCATGTTAAATTAATAGAAAATAATTCATTTGAAACTTTAATTGTAACTAAAATTTCATTCTATCATTAATTTTAATTAAAATAATTTTTATTATGTTCATTAAATTGAAAGCAAAATGGATATGAATAAATCAAATATTATTTTTAGTGTCATATTATAGATATTGAATTTATGCCATATAAAATACTCGATACGTTATTAAAAAATAAAGATTGTTTTATTTATTTTTATTTAAGTTTGGATATATTTTTATGAATTTATTTTTCAAAATTGTGCTTAAACTTCTTAAACAAAAGTCAAGTGCTTGAATTATATCGTTTAATAAACAATAATTACATTGTTTGATAATTCAATTTTTTTATCTAAAAAATTATAAATTTTCGATTTTACGAATACAATCACAATTAATAAATAATTAGTTATAAAATAATTTGATGAATGAAACTATAATTTTTAATTTTAAAAATAATTTGTTTTCATATATTTTTAAAAAATCTAAATTTTCTAATTTCTTTGTGAAATTATTATTTAAAAATACTGAAAAATATCAAAAATGAAATTTTAGTTATAATTGAGGGGTAAAATAAGATATCTCTTATTAATTTTGCATGACACGTCACACTATTAACAATATTTTACGGTCGCTGTCTATTTTTTTAATAAAATCTGAAATTTAATATCAATTTTTAAAATTCAATGACAAATAAAAATATTTTAATAAATTTAATGACTATTTATAAATTTTACTATATTTTTTATATTAGTGGTGCATATCAGTGCACATCACTAGTGGTGAACATCACTAGTGGTGCATATAAGTGTGTGTCATTCGTTCTAGACTCATTTTTTTAAAAGATGTATACTTTCAATTATTAAAATATTTCCCCTTTGCATCTTATTAATTTTAATGATAATTAATTTGAAAATTTATCATATATTTTATTTATTTATTTTCTAAAATATGACAACGATGGATTCTAAATATCAAAATTTGAATAAAAACGAAACTCGGCCTTTCTAGTACCCGCCTTATGGGTCAAGCTAATACGAAACAACAACATATTTGCAAAACTTTTCGCATAAATATGCTTGTTAGATTCATTTAACAACGTGTTTGATTCTTAGCAAATACTTCACCAATTATCACCATAGTGCTGTGAATTTTGTGGCATGTACACAAATTACACCATCGGCTTCTTCGACTATATTTGTTTTTCCCCGCATCGATCCTTCTTGAGGTTTCAGAAAAAGAAAATGAATAACATAAGGTCCCATCCCACAGATGAAGAGATGAGGAAGATGACTTCAACTGATACCTTGATTGAAGTTGATCTTAATAAATGTGATCCATGGGATATTCCGGGAAAGTTTTATCATGCCATCAATATCCTTATAAATATACTATTATTTGTAAGAAAAAATTGAATAATCAGAGGTAATTATAATGATAGTATTTGTTTGTAACTTTTTTAACTAATTGGCAACGTACACGTAACTGTTCGAACACAAAACCTCTAAAGAGAACATATTTTTTTAACCACTAAAATCACTTGACGAGTTCTATTATTTACAAATTTAAAAGATCACAATCACGAATATTTTTTCTTTTAATAAATATGAGATAAATTCAATGTATTATTTGTTCAAAGACTTTCAACATTTTAATAATAAATACTGATAACCTTTTGAGAATCACGAATCTTATATATAAATTAAGTTAATTTTCATGTTATCATTTTTGTGAGGGAAAATTGTTCGTTAATATTAGAATTGCTTGAAATAAAACGTAATCATTTTATATTTAAGATAACTATAATTAATTTCAATTACGAATTAATATAAATGCTATTTTTATATCTAACGATAAAACTATTATTATGCTACAAAAGTCCTTAATTCAATAAATAATTAAAAAGAAAGGGGTGGAAATTAATTTTCAATTTCTCCTAAAGAATTTCGCTATAAAAATGAACATTTTAGTAATATGCGTGAGTTTATGACATGAAAGTCAACACTTTTAGTTTATACACACACAACATACCTTGTCCATAAAGCTGACTTGCAAAATTTATATGATGAAATACAATAACACTGCAATATTCTTTTTATTTCAAGTTTCATCATTCAAGCATAGATTAATATTAGTATAAAAAAATCCCATATATATACACGTAAGAATGAATATATGATTTTATGTTATGAAACGAATTTTTAAAATTTTAAGAAAGAATAAACTTGTATAATTCCGGGGAGAAAAACATATTATCAATAGAAAATATAAAGAAAAATACTAAAATATATGATTATTTTAAATTTTCAGAGACGCTTTCTCTTGTCACCCCTCCTGTATCATGTATATATAATATATTTATATTAAAAATTAAATTAATTGTAGAAACGGCTCGAGTGGGAAGCAACGAATGGCATTTTTTAAGTCAAAGAGATCGAAAATATGCAACGGGATTGCGGACGAATAGAGCAACACCCTCGGGGTACTGGAAGACTACTGGGAAAGATAGGGCTGTCCTTAGCAAGTGCACCATTGTTGGGATGAGGAAAACCTTGGTGTTCTTCCAAGGTAGGGTTCCCAAAGCAACTAAAACTGATTGGATCATGCATGAATCTAGTCTTCAAGGAACTTCCCTCCCCAAGCTTTCCACTTTCAAGGTGTGTTATTCTTACGTTTTTGTTTTGTTTTGGTTATCCGATGTTAAAAGGTATACATAATTGTTGATGTGATAAAATATTTTTTTATTTTTTAATGATAGTGTGACATTACCTTATGGTGACACATAAACATCACCATTAATTTTCTAGCGTTGTGATTAAAGCAGAACAAAAACGTATGTTTTAATTATGATTTTAAAAAAATAGTTGGGTGACCATAACAAAACTAAGGGAATAGTTGGGTGACTAAATATGTAATTTACCCTTTATATTTATGTAAAACTAAAATAATTTATATATTATTTTAACTTTTATATGATTTTGATATTTTAATAACTCAACTGTTGTTTTTTTAATATAATTATACTTGTTTTGTGTGTGGTTTACATAATTATATTTTTTGTTGGGTTGATATTTTAATTTTTTTTATTTGATCTTGTTTTTTCTCCTTTTTTTAATATGGTAACGAAGAAAAACTTCGTCCTCTGTGTTGCATGTACTTATATATTATCAAAAATTTCAAATTTTGTTTACAGAACTTCAGTTATGATTTAAATCACTAAATGTGTCGTTATAATTACATCAAAATATAATTGATAAAAGTTTTGTGATATTGGAACTTGTAGGAAGGTTTGCTTTTATGTCGAGTGTTCCACAAAAACGAAGAGATTAGTGCAACACACAGGGGCATGGGAGGATGTTATGATGAGCCAGGCTCCTCATCACCTCTTCCACCATTGATAGGTTCTAACATCACTTTACATCAAGAGCAACCAAATTCAGATGAGCGGCAACTGCACTGCTTCTGCAATTTGTCCCGAAACCAAACCAACCCGATTCTCACTGGCATCGAACTGGACATCCCGGCCGAAACAGAATTGGGCGTCGGACAAACACCCATCATTGTTGCTTGCTTGGACTCCTCCCTTTGTGACAAAAAGGTGATCAAACCTGTGCTGAATCATCTGACCAAGCTGGATACTTAACGTGAAGAAATTTGGAGAAGCAAGATCAGACCAAAGCTATTTATCTGAAGTTGGAATGCCCGACATCTCATTAATGTCCAAAACTACATTGTCTTTCAGAAAATATACAGAAGTTCATAAGAAATTTACTGATTTTGGGTATATCAAATTCCCCTTATTATAGCATCATGTACTTGTTTGATACATTAAGATAGATCCTAAAATGGGAAATTGTACGATTTTATATGTATCATATATGTATTTGTATGCATGTACATACGAGTATTATAGTATATCATGCATGTACTCATCATTGTTAGCATCATAGTAGTCAATACTTACATGTATGCATGTATCTATGGATGTATGTAGGAACGAGCATTATGGTATATCATATATATTCTAGTTGGGATAATGAAATTTAGATATCTAAATCTACTCACCTTGATTAACTCTTCTTTGACGTAGAAAACTCTAGTTTCTTTTGTTTACAACTTGCATTATGATAGTTAATTTAACAATTGTGCCGGTTTCGGTAATTAATATGAAAACCGAGCATGTACACTCTCTTTGGGATTCAACTTTCGAAATCAAAATATATCACTCGGTATCGTCGAGGTCAGAAATTTCAAACGGCACAACCCTCCATATGACGTAAGTGATGCATCTGTCGCAATCTGGAATTCCAGCAGAGATCAATAATCTGATCTGGTGGTTGTAAAGGACGAAAGAAGTCCGGCAGCTTGTACGGGCAAAATGTCACCGAAGGTTGACATGGCAGATGCAGATCGATCCTTGAATATGCCAACTTGTCCGTCCGTTAACATGGATCCCAGTTTTAATGTGCTCTCTCCGAATCTGCTGCCAACCTGCCAGGGCTAATACAAGGGAATCTCATCAAGATTTAATATCCCTAACACTGCACCAAAGCATCAAATATGCCTAAATACATACAATTTCGTAATAAACAACTTTAATATAACAAGAAGATAAAATCCGCGAGTGCTAAGTGCAAATTAGAAAGAAAACGGAAAATTACGACGTGCTATTTGCGAAGTGGTAAAACCACAAAGGGTGAAACTAGACAGGTTCAAATAAAACCAAACCAATCCATGGGCATCGGCAAGCATGCTCTTGAAGTATACACGACTTTCATATGAAAAGTTCTCACTCGAATGACAGTGGAATTAGAAATACCATTTTAAACGGAAAAAAATGATGAATAGCATCACCTGCATGAAAGATTTTAAGAATGGCGTTGCAACACCAAAACTCTGGTGATCATCCAAATCACCTTTCTGGGAAAGCTCTCCATTCGTGTAAGCTTTCCAGGAACTTGAAGTAATATCATTGGAGGCAGCCGTATTAGGTTTACCATTATTCCCTCTAGAAGACAGTGCTGGAGCACTACATGACCAACCATAAATTACATGAAAATCAGATACAGCAATAAATAACGCAAGATAGTATTATGCATAGATAAAGTGAAAAGAAGACTGGCAAAATAGTAAAAGATGATAGACCTGATTGGAAGGTATTTGAAGCGAGGAACCACTGAACATCTCATAATATTCGATTCAGAATTAGTAGGCAGTTTCTGCACAGTATCTGTATACATCCGATTAAGTTGAACAAAGAATCCAAAGAGCACAGCATGCCTGAGGTACGACTGCCTCTCGTTCTCCCATAAGTATGGCTCATACCTGAAATATTTAGAAAGCACCATTAATCAGAAGAGATGCATGCAGTCGTGCCTTACTCCTAACAACGTAAATGGAACACATAAACATTTGCTAGTTGAAATAATGGCTCTAAAACATAAACTGATAGGCGAAAAGGAGCTCAAAAGGAAGTCCATAGAGCAGATGACACATTGGCAATTTCATCAGATTTTTACACAGCTTGATTAAGAACACCCATAGTGCATTTTGATAAATAACAGTACACATTCAGGCCACTTCACTACTTAAGGTGAAATAAAGTAACATTCTTATGAGTATGTACTCCAATTAGTTCTAATTTTAACCATGGGTCTAATTTATCATTTTAGACTTATTTTTATCCAAGTTGCATATTTTATTTGGTACAAATGAAAAATAAAAGACAAATGAAAATGGAACATTTTAGGTATAATACCTAATTTTAAAAATTAATTTAATTCAGGTTCATGTCAAAACAGGTGCAAGTTGATTTGGTTCTGAGTGAACCAGGACTGGGTTGCCTTTGATCAGATTGTTGATCTTTTGTGCCAAATCTAGTAGGACAAATCAAGCAGATTTTTGGTCTAGGTCAACTTAACCAACTCTAATTGTGGACCATAACTTTCTGTTTGAGATAATACAAATAATTAAAAATAATAATAAAACAAACAAGAAAAGAAAATTTCTTTTATTTTGTCAATAGATTTTCATGGTTCCTTTTTCAACATTTCAATTTTCCCTAATGAGGAGAGAATCTAACGTGTGGAAATTGTTGCTATCAACCTAATTCTATTCCTGGACAAGAAAAATCCATTAGCAGCTGACAAGATCTAGAGCTAATGGGATATATATCCATTGCCAACCAACCCCATATTCTAGTTGAACCTAGATCTCGTTGATATGTCAGGGATTTTCCAAACACTAGATTTAGATGGCTACCATGGATCTAATGATGCTATATTTGAATGCAAAAAACACCAGTGCTCAAGTGATCAATAGTGCTCTGAGGTGCTACGTTCAGTGGTATTAGATGTGAAGTTTGTGGTAATGTAGGCATGGTCATTATCATATGCCATGAGAGAGAGTGCATATTTCAGAGAGAGAAGGAAAAGAAGAAAAACTTGTAAGAGAAAAGAAAAAGGAAAATAAAGCAGCCACTAGACAAAAAAGTTTCTACTCTACATAACAGTATAAAAATTTTAGAAGTATTATCAAAAGGCAAATTTATGTTCATCATGTAAGAAGTCACAGGAACACTTACGTCAGCCAATCAATAGGATCCAATTTTTGCGAAAGAGAATAGATCAGCCCATCAACACTGTCTCTAGCAACAGACTTAACCTGAATTTGGTCCTGCTTCCTTCTGAATGATGATTTAGACTTCGGTTTTCTAGATAACTCTTCATTTACATCAAAATCACCCCCAGAAAGAACATCAGCAGCAAACCTTATGTCCAACAAGACCTGCAAAATTCCTTTCTCCGACAGTTGAGCTCCGGAGGCTTCTTTAGTAGAGAGAAAGTTCTCATAAATCGAAATGACCTACATGATGAATAGAAACAAATTTACCCAACAAGAATAAAACAAATGAGAATTAAGGAAAATATAATTTGGAGCTAGTCAATATTTTTTACAAGAAACTTTCCTAGGTAAAAGAGTCCACCATATGAAACATCCCAAAAGAGAAGCATAATTTCATTTAAAGAAATCATTTAATACTCCATATAGAAGCACCGAATAATTTTCTTTCTAGTGAATGTAAACATAGAAAGCGTATCAAGTTTTCAAGTCACAAATCATGGTTGCCAATGCTGTTTATGGACACATCTTTTACGATGTGCCAATTGCAGTAATTAACAAATTGTAATCTGAGATAAACATTGAAACAATTCATTGACTAGAACCACACTGCATCTCCACCCCAGAGAGAGAGAAATGCAACCCAACATAGGCAAAGTATAAGGGGCCTCTCAGCAGTGGCTCAAAACAAGTGGAACAAAGTAAATGCATAGAAGTAACACTTCAAGAACGTTATCATTGAGCTGCTGTGCCTATATATTCCCAAGACACTCATTTCGAATCAATTGCTTCAACCCCAATCAACTGGAATTTGCCAATGGCCACATAAAACATCATATACGTACATTGAGCCCTGCTGTGATTTACTATATCCTCTATAACCTTAACATTCTAACTACCACTGTCAGCATCAGTTTCTTCCTTCACTTTGGCATTTATTACGATTGATGGACATCTAATTTTATGATTGGGAATTGAAAATCATTTTCAAATTGTGCATAGGAGGGTTGATTGGTCATTTTCAATTTGCTTTCATCCCGGGTCAACAAATTTGTGATTGCTCGTTAATAGCTAATGAAGCCATTGATTATTGGAGGAGGAAAGGTAGGGAAGGTATAGTGTTTAAAGTGGACTTTAAGAGGGCTTATGATACCGTGGATTGGGATTTCTTAATTAAAATTATGGAGTGTATGGGGTTTGGACAAAGATGGAGGTCTTGGATTTTTAAGTGTCTAAATACAACTTCTATTTCAGTTCTTGTTAATGGTTCTCCTACAGAAAGTTTTAAAGTTTCTAGGGGGCTTAGACAAGGGTGTTCTTTATCACCGCTACTGTTTAATTTAGTGGGTAATTTCTGAATCTTCTGCTTTCTAAAGCAGTAGTGTTGGGATTGTTCGAAGGTTTTCAGATAGGCTGTGATTTTTATTCAGTATTGCTTTCTCATCTACAGTTTGCCGATGACTTGATAATTTTCTGCAAAGCCTCTAAAGGTCAATTGGAAAATCTGAAACGGGTTTTCACTGTTTTTGAGATGTGTACAGGGCTGCAGCTGAATTTGTTAAAGAGCAGGATTTTCGGCATTAATTTACAAGACTCAATTGTCGGGGATTGGGCGAACTCTATAGGCTGCTCACGAGGCTCTTTTCCAGCGGAGTATTTGGGGATACCCTTGGGAGCTAGGAGGAATTCAATTCAGCTTTGGGATCCGGTTGTGAATAAGTTCTACAAGAAACTTGCAGGCTGGAAATCAGGTTCATTATCCATTGCAGGAAGGGTTGTTTTGGTGAAATCAATCCTGAATGCTCTTCCTAATTATTATATGTCACTTTTCAAAATGCCAGTGGTTGTACGGAAAAAATTGGAATCTTTAATGTCTAATTTTTTGTGGGGGTCATCGGCAGAGAAGAAACGGATCCATTGGGTCAACTGGAATACTGTTTGCAAAAATAAAGAATTTGGGGGGCTGGGAATTTCAGATCTAAAGGTTAGGAACAGGGCTCTCTTGGGCAAATGGGTTTGGAA